TTTGAAAGTTTTTGTGGTTGATTTTAACCTTTAGACTCCCCTTTCTTTTTTTTTTTTTTTTGAAAAACAACAACAGATTTGCTGTCTTTGTGTTTTAGTCACATGCAGAATATCATAAAAATAATCATAATGTGATATTTTTGTATTTTGTCACATTATAAACACAAATGTAGATGCATTTTATTGGAATTTTATGTGGGTTGGGGGTGAAATATTTTTTTTCTAATATAGAATTAAAAGTATGAAAGTGTGGGATTCATCTACTCTCTGCCCATTTTACTAAAGTACCGCCAAATAAAATTCGGTGCAGCCAATCGTCTTTAAGAGTCACTTAAGTATTTCTGTCACTCATGGAAAAAAGGTTTATGCTCAATTGAAACTGACAGGCTGGATATTAGCAATGAGTGATTTGCTCAGGTGACATAAACTTTTTGCAGAAAATATATTAGTCTTGCAAGCCACAACTTCTACATGGAAGAGTGGTAAGAAGAAAAACATTTTTGTAAGAAAAAAATTATAAAATGGCCTTTGTAAAGGTTGCCACAAGCCATGTAGTAAACAATAAACACGTGGAACGTGTTTATTTTTTGACAGGACTATGTTGTAAGAAAACCTGTTAGGGCCTTCAAAACACCAAAAGACCTTCTGACAGACAGCAGACAGTTTATATGGTGACTGATAATGAGGTGGATAAGGTCAAAGCATATTCATTTATGCCCCTGTCAAAGTTCAAAATTGACATTTTCTTCCAATAAAAACCCCCCCCTGAACTTTACGGTTGCTGTTTGCACATGTTCTCCATGCAGTCTTACTGAATTTGAACTATTTTTGCAGGAAAATAAAAGGCACACATTTCAATCAATAGTTGTACAAACTCGCAAAGTCACTCTTCAACAAACAGGCGTATTTGTGAAATGCTACTGTCAACAGATTTGGGCAGCTGAATAGAAATGCACACCATAGTTTAAAAAATGTTATTGTTTTTCCTACACCTGACAATTACATACTGTTTCATATTGTGTTTTTTTTTTTTTTTAATCGTAGATTCACTGCAAAATATGTAGAAGTCTAGTGTCACAAAGTGTCAAGGTTTGAAAAAGTTCATTTTTGTATGAATACTTGTGTAAAGCGTTACACAGAGTCAGACAGACAAAAACGCAGACACGCTTCAGCACCTAGCAAGTTTCCCCCCTAGTGAGTCTGGGAGATTTATGGGGAGAAGCTGGGGCTCGTCAAGTACCGTTTCCCCCTCTGGGGGGGTTGTCACAGCTATATTTGTATGCTGAGGATCTTCCCTATGGAATAAAAAAAAAAGCCCAGTAGAGCAAAAGGATTTGCACATCTAAAACTCGGTGTCTCCCCATAAAATCAGAAGAGCAATGTCTCTTAGTGGGAATCTTTAGGGAGAAGGATGATCGTGGCCTCCTATATTTATTTCACCGTGGCTAATTAAAATTTATTAGGTTGATACTTAGCACTTTCTTCTCTGTCATGTTTTTGTACTGTTCACTGGAGACTTGAAAGATGGCGAGGGGAATGTGCCTTTGCATACACGGCGCCGTCTCTCAGCAGATTATATTGTTTTGTTACGAGAGCCAGGGTTCGGTCCCGTTATGTGAGTTGGAGGCGGCAGATGTTCTTTGGAGGATCCTCTTTTCTCTCTCCTTTTTTTTTTTTTTTCCCCCGCTGCTTGTCTTCGTTTTGAACCGCTCAGAAATCCCACGTTTGTCACTGAAACTGGAAGTGCTCCCTTTTAATGCAGTCGAGGGAGAGAGTGTCTGACAGGTGTGCCTGAAGAAGCAGATAATGTGTTTCGGGGAGGATGTTCAAGCTGTCCTCTCCCTCTGTTCTGGCCCTGAATGAGAGCTTCTGGTATATGACAGAAAGATGCCTCTGATCGACATCGTCTGCTCATAGTTTGAAAATGTAGATATGAGTTTTTCCAAAGTCATTGCAATGACTAATAAAAACATTACCTGATGTTTCTCATATGACGTATTTCTAAATTCTCATCCAGATTAAGTTACCTCTATTAGTTTCCAGGTGTAAGTAATACTGAGAGTGTATATTATGACAGCGAGCGACCATGACCGTTTGACTGCCATCGACTAAACCTATCGAGTAACCAGATGGTAGACAGGCCCTCCTTGTCGCTTGATTTGATTGGTCAGGGGTTAATGGGTTGGGCGCCGGGAGAAAAAGTATGTTGTGGATAAGATGTCACCGCCTGTCTGGGAAATCTCTATCTCATTTTATGTCTGTATGTTCTCCAAGGCCTATCTCAGGCTCCAAAAAAAAAAAAAAAAAAAAAAAAAAAAAAAAAAAAAGAGTTTAATCTTATCCACCATGAAGTATACATTTCATTGAAACCTCTCAAACAAACATAGGACATAAACATACAAAGAATTCAGGTACCTGTTGCTGATATTCTGGTTATAGAATCGAGATTTTAATCACCGCGTACAATCGGGAGACAAGAGTAATTAATGCGGATATATATTTGCATTCCCATTCTCCTTGCAGATTAAAGCACAAAATGAAACGTTATAAATTAAGCTGTAGAAAAATCGAGATATGCTGGCTGTGCACTCACATCAACACTGCTGCTTAAGGAGGTAAAGTTGGATGTATTCATTTAAGGCACATCCTAGACAGATTATATTGTGTTATACAGCAGTTGTGTTAATCCTGATTTAATATGTAGCCAATACAAGGTGTTATTTTGTGAAAGTGACATGATGTTTGTTTTACTAGTTAGCTCAGCAGCGCTTGGAGTGCTTGGAGTCATATAGAAAGAGCTAACTCTATTTTTGGCTAATTTATATGCATCTATTTACCTAAATCTGTGTTTTAGACATGAAATAGATTGATTTTTGTGAACCAAATTTGGGTTGATTTCTGTGGGGTCGAGGGGCCATACTTTTCACTGTTCCCCGAATACAAAGTAAAAAGCTAATAGCTGTTAATTATTGTATTAGTAGGTGAAGCAGAGCAAGGTTTTCATTTCGTCAAGTATTCTAATTGGTCGTTAACACATACTATTTGCACAAAGCAGTCCTAAATGTAATCATTAGTTTCTGTGTTTTTCTTGAAAATGTGGACTACTATTACCTCTGAGACTTCTAAAAGGTTGCCAAGATTTCCATACCCAGCACTTTCCTAAACGGAGAGGTTAAAAGCTTAAAAGATTAAAACACAGCAACACAGCTGTAGCACATTCAGCCTTAGTGTTATCTGCTTAAGCCTTGCCAACTTACTTACACTTTGCAAAAAGCATCCTAAGGGCAGGTATCACTTGACATCCCGTGGCACACGGTGCCTTTTCTGTAGCGACTCATAATGGCAAAGGAGAGAAATGACGAGCAGCTACCACGCTGAAACCAGGTTACTTTGAGGCGACTTTCCTTCACCTTCACAGCTTCAGAGAGCGTGGTTGACCAAGTCGCACTTTGACCTGACAAGTCATAGGTCAGAGTCAGTCAAACTGGCAGTTGTACAAGTCGCTAGCTGATTTGTCTGTGCCTCTTGAGAAGGGATGTGAGTTCAGCAGTCATTTTAAATAATTAAAACTGAATAGCAAAGAAGACTTAATTATCTGTACATTAAGAAAGTTGTCTCTTTTTCCAGTTTGAATTATCAACGGTAAAAAGACAAAGTCGTAGATTTAAGCTTTTTTGGTCTTAGGGGCCAAACCTTTGAAGGTTGTGAAACACTTTAAACTGAGCTTGTACTTTCATCTGCAGGCAAAGCTGCTCTGATAGGCTCAAAGTTTGCGTGTCCTCTGGTGTTTATTTTCTTTTTTTTTTTTCTTTTTGCAGAGATGGAGCCATGGATTTTCAGGTTCAAAGCAGAGGGCACGGTGGATTATTCACAGCTGACCTTCGACCCTGGCCAGAATGAACTGATCGTTGGTGCCAGGTAACTGGCATCTATTATTGTTTTTTTTTTTTCTTAATTCTCTCTTTTGCTTCCACTTGGCTCCATCTTTCTATATTTCTTTTCTTGCCTTTTATTTGATTGTGCCTCGTTTCATTTCTCGGTGTTTGCTGCAGCATTGCATGAGTAATGATCAATTTCTGTATACATCCCTTCAGATGCCAAAGAAAAATTGCTTCGGAGGATGAACTTCATTGTCTTCTTGAAGCTCAGCCAGATGTGTCTCTGTTGGTGTGTGTGGATGCACTTATTGCTTATGTTATGGGGGCTCAACACTTTCCATTATGTGTTTACCTTTGCAGGAAAATAGACTGTAAAACTGAATGAGTAATGCCACATTCATTCAATATGACCTATTAAACTGAGGGCAAAAAGTTGGTTTAGGGTTTTAGTTAAAGTTTTGGATAAACCAAGTGGGAGTGTGGCTGATCTGCGTTTGCCTTTTGCAATATATCTGCCACTTAATGCAGTATTTTTCTGCATTTACGTTTGTTGCAAAAAGGAAGATTTGACAGTTGCATTGGAATATGGAGCAGTTCAATCTGTAAAGCTGTAACTGAGTGCTTTTAAAAGGTTCTTTGCAAACATGTTATAGCACACTTGTTTCCTTTGACAAATTTGCCTGTTCCGTTTCTACATTCTCACAGTACTCAAAGGGGGAACGAAAAGGTGAAAGACAATAGACGTGATGAAATTCTCTGTGTCACCTCGACAGCTGCTAAGTGTCTAACTGTAGCGGGTAATGCGCCAAGATTGATGGCAGCAGGCTGGGTTCAAAGTATGGGAGATAATGGGAAAAAAGTGGGATCGATGTAAATATCAATATAGTAAAACGGGGGGCCAAGGCCACATACAGACCTTTTCTGATGGATGCACCTCGGGAGATTGATGGATCTTTGTAAAACTATTTTGTATGTGCGCCATGTGTGCGTGCTTGCAAGTGTATTCTCTGAAAATAGATAATTGATTTACGAAAAGCAATGATTGCTCCCATTACATATGAGCCCATTTTCCCAATCACTTTTTAAACACAGAAGAAAAAAAAAAAGTTGCGTTCTATTACCATCCTTTCAGCACAACTACGATTTGGCATGCAGTTTTTGTTTCGGCCTTTAAACTGTTGTTCCGTGCTCAAAAACACAAAGTGATACTAAACGCTTGCCAGAAGCAGAAGGTGAATAATGTCTCATAAACTCACTCATTGCTCATTTGTTTGTTTGTTTTTTTGTTGTTGTTGTTTTGTTGTTGTTGTTGTTTTTTTGTTTTTTGGGGGGAATTTTTACAGCCATAAATCCTCACCATGTTTTATTTTCAATGAATTGTGAATTTCAGTCAGCAGTTATTTCAGAATGCCTCAAAATGTACCCACTAAAACATGGCATTACAGTAAAAATGTCTCTGCAGTAAAACCCTTTAACTAAACTAAAAAAGAAGTGAGCTGGGCTTTCATATTGACACTTATAAATTGATATTAATATGTTAGAAACACAAGGTCATCAGACCTCTAGAACATTTTTGTGCTACTAACGAGGAAGAAACAGGTTAACTGTGGATAAATGCTGCCACAAGACGCACCAAAGATACGCCATCAAGAAAATTACCTTTTCTCTCAGTAACAAATAAACATCTACATCTACTTACTTGTTTCTACAGAAATCACCTCTTCAGGCTCAACCTGGAAGACTTGACATTGATCCAGGTGAGTCGTAATTCTCTTCTTCTCTGTGACTCCACCGCCTGACTAGCACAGTTTTTTTTTTTTTCCAGTGAATTTGTTCTTGCTGCCTCTGCTCATTTCGTTCTCGTGGCAAAAACAAAAACCCCACCTGCTTTTGACAAACATTTGTTGATAGTTGCACTATGCTGCCAGCTTCCACAACTTCAGGCTGTCACGGTGAAACGAGTTAGAGTTTCACACGTCACAACAGCTTCACAGAATGCAAGAGTGCCGTTGCATGTGGCTGTCACAGCCTTGTGTCGAGACACAAAGGAAGGGGAAGTGCTAGAAATGTTTTCTTTGTCTAAATCTATATTTTAAGATGCTTGCATGAAATTATAGTGCTGTGAAAAAAAGTGTTTGGGCTTTTTAATCACCAATAGTCAAACATAGTGTTGGTACTGTGATGGTCTGGGACTGCTTTGTTGCTTCAGGACTTGGACAACTTGTTGGAATTAATGAAATTGTAAATTTTCAATGTCACCAGATGATCGTAAAGATTGTTTGGTCATCAGTTTGTGACTTTACATTTCAGACAAAGCCACAAAAGTAATTTCATTTTAAATGTAATTTATGTTCGCATATCTTTGGTTCATGCATGTATATTCATCTGTCCTCTCTAAATATTTTCATTTGGTATGTTTTGTCCTCTCTACTTTGTCTTTTAGACTATTTAAATCACACTCGCTACGCTGAGTATTTTGCTGCCCACTCTTACCATCACTGACATGGTGATCACTTAGTTTCCAGGAGGCAACATCAAGACTTTTGTAGATCTCAGACCAGACTTTATATTTGCCAATACGTAAACTGAAGAGAGGGAAGGAAAGTATGATGACTAAAAATGAAGGAGTTTGAAAAATGTAGACAGAGGCCTGTTGACGTAAAGATGATTGGAAGGGGAAAATGAGAAAATCAGCTCGACAAAGTAAGAAGGAAGAAAGAATCTGTTGGGCAGAAAGGCGTTTAAGGCGTGATCTGGGGCTGCTTTGTTAGAAAAAGAAGTGAGAGAGCGTGAAAGCAAGGAAGCCCCCCAACAGAGAGACAAGGATTCATGCAGAGTCTGCCTTTTGTGGTCTCTTGCTGGGACACAGATGCTTTTTAAAGATGCTCTATCCCATCCAAACTCATAATCCTTCTCCCTCCTCTGTTTCATCCCGCGCTTGGCTGGTGCTGAAGAATGAGCGAAGGGATTCCACTGAGCCCATCACCCCTTCACCACCAAGATGCATTCCCCGTAAAAGAATGGGATCTGGTAATCCCTGCCAGTGCCTGGGGCAAATTAAGGATGACCTGTGCATAAAGTCCCTGGTTTGCATTTGATTGGAGGTGAACTATAGAGTCAAGGGAAAGTCTAAGTTCAACTGCTGAAATTTGCAGAGAATGAGTGGTTCTTTTTCATTCATCTCTCCTAAAGTCTTTTTTTTTCTTCCCTTCCCTTTATGCTATTCTGATGTAAAAGACAGATTAATTACACAGAGACTTGGTTGCCTCATTCCAATTGTTGCTTGGCATGAAAGACTTAAATGAATTTCCCCTTTGTTGCTTTGCCCACGTCACTTGAATCATCAATTGATCAAATAGATTTATGAGGGACTGTGGTTCAGAGACTGAAAGAGGCAACACAGAAAGTTTAACACAAGTAGTTGGCAGAGGTTAATTTCAATTGCACCAGAATTCAAATGAGTCGCAAGACATTCAGTTTTCTCTTTCCTGATGAGTGTAGAATACAAACATCAGCGTTAGCCTACCTCGCAACATCTGGACCACCTCTGGAGGAATCTGGACGCTGCAATTGGAAGGCAACTTCACTTCCACGTTCTGTCTGAGCGTCCACACAAAAAATAATAGTCAGGAGGTACAGCATCGTAAGTCGCCATCTTTGTTGCAGCTGAGACGCTAACCGACCAATAAGCAGAAGTTGAGGCCTTCAGACACCGTTCTTCATCTTTTGCATATTGAGGCAGAAATGCATATGGTAAAGAGGAGACAGAAAAATGTAAAAAGTTCAAATGGAAAAATAAAATAAGGGGGGATAAATAAATTAATAAACAAATTAATTAAAGAGACACAAATGCACCAATAAGTGAGAGGAAAATCAAAATAATATAGTTTTAAAAACAGTTAAATTTAAATTATGTGCTTGAAAAATAATTTGTCGGATTTAAGCTGAAAAAATAAAAATGTATGTCAATTAAATCATAAAGCATGAAGTAAAATTCTTCTGTTTAAAATCAATTGTTGTATTTTAATCACATTGATTTATTAGGCCATTTATATTTCTGCTCGTGCTTCGACCCTTGTGTACATCAGTGCGATCAGTGGGATATTTGGCACCACTGTGAGACATAGATTGGCCAGTTTTTTTTCTTTTTCTAGTAGCTGGGTCCTGCACCATATACCTTGTGAAGTGTACTAGCAACAGTGGCAGCAAAACATCCCCACAGCCAAATGCTACAACTTAACATTTAATAGGGTTTTCTTAGGTTTGAAAATATCATCTTGACTCCTACAAACATCCTGCTGGCTATAAAACCTTTATGCAGACAGCTTGGGCTTGTTCATAGGGCTATCTGTACACAGATCTTCTTGACTTGTCACTCTGGGACTATGTAAAATTCAGTTCAATTTGACAGGTTCCAGTCTTGCCATATAGCATATGATTAATGCTATATCAGAGCATCTTGTAAGCTAGTACTGTTGCTTTACCAATGCTCTTACCCAACTGGTATGAATCTGTAATTCTCCTTAGATCTTCAATGAGTTCCTTGGACTTTCCCCAGTGTTTTAAGAGTCGGTCAATTAATTGAGTGCGGATATATCCTTTTGATCAGAATTGTACCTTCATGAAAAAAATTGTACCTGTATGAAAATACAACAACTACAAATGCTTTCACTTGCACGGAGGTATGCTACATATGTCTGCAACTTTTGTGAGCATTCGTGAACACACAACTATGGAAATGGATCAGGTCTGAGGCCCAGCAATGATAATTTCTTCTATAAATATCCTCATTGCTTGTTAATGGACAGAAAGAAAGTATAACATGCTAATGATATTAGAGCTGGAGAGACAGAGTTGATGTTACGTTGATGTCTGTGGACATTTTCATTGTCAGAATGCCTTTGAAATTTACCCCAGAGCATATGGCATCAATAAGTCCTTGGAGTACAAAGAGTTCAGTCCAGCTGGAAAGAGAAAAAGACTGTCTGATGGACTAGTTTCAAGGCGGAGGGACACAGAGAATTTTAAGCAGAGGGTAGTATTTAACATGATAAAAAAAAAAAAGCAAGATTATTTAGGATGTACTCACAGTGAATGGCAGACAAGGTTGAAGTTGGACGAGCCAGGCCTTGAAACTTGACTCAGCCTCTGCTCTATATGGCCTTGATTGGAGTCAATATCTGGTACTTATGTTTCTGCAATGTCTGAACAGTTGAAAAGGCCTTCCTCTCCTTGTCAACTTCTCCCCTCCATCCTCCACTGATGTGGATATTTTTCTGCTTGCTTATATTTCAAGCTTGTGCTGTTTAAGGGAAAAAATAAAGACTTAACTCTGCAGCATGCCCAACTGATAAAACATTTAGACATATCATTGCCAAGGAAAATGGAAAATCCTTTCAAAAGTACAGTTTTCTTTGTTTTCCTCTCAACTGAATACCATATTATTTTCTGAATCTGTTCAGTATTATCCTTTAAGACCCCCTTTTCAACTCCTTCAGCTCTGCTCAGCTTCAGATAATCAGCTGTTACTAACCTTGAGCTTGTGAATCAATGTTGTTTTTTCCCCCATTGTTGTGCCATGAGTGAATCACAGTCAAGCCAATGTGATGCACCACTGAGCCTTATGTCAACATCTGACTGCCAACTTCTCACATAGGCTGTATCAGAAGTTGCTGCATTAAAATAAATAAATAAATAAATAAAAATTTAACCTTCAAGGACTATAGGGATGTGATGTTCTCCAATATCTGGTTTTTGTAAAGTTTTGTCCTACTCATTCTGAGTCTCATCAAATTCTGATTTCTTTTTAGGAAGTACCCTATAAATTGCTTTTTGTATCCTCTACTTTAATAAAGTGGGTCTGAACAAAGATATTTCGTACAACTTGTTCACATTTTTTGTCAAATAACCCACTTGATCTGTGGCAGATTTCTAATCCTTTTCAGAAGGCTTTGTCCTTGTAGCAGCCATTGTAGTGCTTGGTTCTTAGGTACATTTAGCACAAAGGGGGAACCACTTACCTCACCGCATTGTATTACAGTGTGCATGCACATACTGTTGCCGTGGTTTTCTCCAACAGTCCAAAAATGTGTATTTTACTTTCTGACTTGTGAGCCAGTCGACCACTGCAAGCTAAATAATTTAATTACCTGCTGCCAGTTCAAAATGCCATACAATGAATTGACCAAGATCCACCAAAGTGTAGTTGTCTTTGTCGGACTCTGAACAAATTTCTTCACAGTCTTCATTTTTAAAGACCTCATTGAAATTGAATACAGCCTTGAGTGTTCTTCTTACATCAACAACTTCCACGCAAAGGAGTTATTATATTCATTTGCTGGGAAAAGATCCCAGATCCCGAGTTCCCATCTAGCCGGTTCCACTTAACAAGCGAAAATCTCGGTCCGCTTCTATTAAGAAGCTCGTGTTTCTGTTGATTAGCAGTGGAGAGGCCCTTTCAACATTAACAAGTTTGTTCCATGCAAAACTAAAACAAGATGCAAATGATAAGCTTGAGTTTCAATTGAAACGCCGTGGCACCACTTAAGTAAATAAGCTCAGGAATAGTGCGGCTCTGTACTAATGTTCAGGGGGGAAAAATGAAAATCGATTCCAGGCATCACAGCCAGCACTCTACACATAAAAACACTACCCACAGCATATTCTTCTTAGCAACAGCTACTCTGATAGAGTAGAGATGTAAACTGTGCCTCCCTTTCTTTCTCAACCTCCTCGTGCATTGTCTTACTGGAATAAG